GGCGTTTGGTTGCATTGACCAAGACAGAGACGGTGTTATCAAAAAACAGGACCTGAAGGAAACTTATGCACAACTGGGTAATTTCTGTACTTCCAACATTTGATCTTTTCCATATTTCAAAGGTGGAAAATAGGTATAAACTGATAGCAAATAAACTACAATAAGTGAAAGCTGTAATGATGTTGACCTGCTACTGTTACTGCATTTAGTAAATGTATATTGGCATGTCTCTGTGTGTTTTTGTGTACCAGGGAAGCTAAATGTCAAAGAGGAGGAGTTGGATGAAATGTTGAATGAAGGGAAGGGTCCCATCAACTTTACTGTATTTCTGACACTTTTTGGGGAGAAACTTAGTGGTGAGAGATTTTCAGATGTTCAAAGAGATCTTTGAAATTCCTGTGAGGTGCTTTCAGGTGATGGATGATGATATTTGATCTTCCTCCAGGTACTGATCCTGAAGACACCATACTAGCAGCCTTCAAACTTTTTGACCCCAATGGAACAGGCTTTGTTAATAAGGATGAGTAAGACAGCAATTGGCTTTCACATTGTTGCAAATGGGCTGTAATGGTATAATATTTTATATTGCTCTCCTTTAATTTTTGTTTTTGATTATTTTTTAGATTTAGACGACTACTGATGAATCAGGCTGATAAATTCACAGCAGAGGAGGTTTGTGTTTTGTTTTTGACAGATTCTCATATAATTTTAAAGATATTTTTTAATAGACAAACTCTTTATAAACCTACAGGTGGATCAGGCCTTCGCTCTCGCTCCCATAGATCCAACTGGAAACATTGACTACAAGTCTCTCTGCTACATCATCACACATGGAGATGAGAAGGAAGAATCATGAACGGCACAGTTGTGTGAAGGCATGTTGTAAAGTCCAACTAAACCCGTTTTACCTTGGCTGTTAATAATTTGACCTGTCTGCAGTGCAGTGTTGTCCTTGAGTTAGTGAAAGCAATAAGCCCTATGCCCAGTACATGTGAACTTAACTGAAATCTAAGCCCAATGAGATGTGGGAGGAATTATCAAGCATGATTTTAAGATGGGGAATCCTTTTCTGACACATGGTCACAGGACCGCATGGTGTGAGAAGAAGGTACGAATTTTTGCTCTAGAAATCATTTTTAAAATGGCATAAATTGTAAATGACAGATACGTGTATGTGCTTTATAGAGGAGTTTTGTCAAGTTTCATGAAGTTTTTTGTATATTGAATGTTCAGGAACTCAGTTTTTCTTTTCGTTGCTTCAAGGCAACGTTATGAAATAACGTCTTCTTGGAGGGAAACTTTGCTAACATTGTGTTGGAATGTAATCGTATGTTACTTCATGTATTTGTGCACATATTTGTGCTCATTTTACATGTTGCTGATGTGATGACTCTTGCACATTGGGATGCCATCAAAATAAGTCTCCCTTTCAGAGACAGTTGCCAGGCCACAAGAGATATGGGTGATTATGATAAGCCAAGATTCAGCCTCTTCTGAATCACATGATAATAATAATAATGGATTGCATTTATATAGCGCTTTTCGGGACCCCTCAAAGTGCTTTACAATACCACTATTCATTCATGTCTCCTGTATTTCTGTAATGCTTTCGATATAATTATTGATGTGTGTGGGCAACTGTGTATGGCGCATCTTTTATTTTATTTAACAACTTTCCTTTCAACTTTTTTGTTTCAAATGTGCTTTATATTTGGTAAATGGTAAATGGCCTGTATTTGTATAGCG